CCCAGCTCCAGACCCCTGGATTTCCAGCTCTGGCCTCTGGATTCCCAGCTCTACATACCTGGATTCCCAGCTCTATCCCTTGGATTCCCAGCTCCGGCCCCGAGGTGCCCTGGCTGGAATGACTTTTGAAGAGCCGGAATCCGGGAAGCAGCCGCCGATGCCAAGGCTGAGGATTCCCGGCCTGGAAGTGGATTCAGGCCCTGGGTGCCGYGTGCGCTGGCAGCCCCGGTGCCAGCGTCCTTCCCCGCCTGTTGGCCTGGGAATATCGCAAACAGGGATGAGCCTGGATGCAGGAAAAGCTGCCCTGGTTCTGGAAGCACCCGGACCGCCGTGCTCCAAGAAACCCTCCTCTGGTGCCCTTGGCCACCGTTAGTTATTTGCAGCTGGATCTGGGATTTGCGCCTGGAATGGGAAGGAGCGGATCAAAACGTGTCTCGTGTCGGGTATTTAGTGCAGAGCGAGTGTCGTCCTTCCCTGTGTGGGTTTGGATGGAGGCAGCGGMGCCGGTGCCGGGAATGCGGCGCCTGGAGGCCCTCGGAGGAGGGCACGGGGTCTCAGAGGAGCGAGGCCGCGCATCCCGGGAAGGCGCATCCCGGGAAGGGGATGGATGGAGCGGGTCCGGCCGCGGGCCCCGGCGCAGGGACATCGCGTGGCCACGGGTGTCCTGGCGTGGCCACGAGTGTCCTGGCGTGGCCACGGGTGTCCTGGCGTGGTCACCAGTCCCTTTGCCTGCCGCCCCCTTCCTTGCTTTCCTTCTCCCCGGCTCTTTCCTAACTCCGCTTTCCGGTTCCAGGAGCTCGTCCTCCCTTTCGGAGGGTTCCTCCGCCTTGGATTTGCCCTTCTCCRGGCCCCCTTGCTCCTGGAGAACACGGTTTCTCCCAGCGCTGTTCCCAGAGCCGCTGACCCCATCTCAGAGCGCCCCTTTGATATGCAAACGAGGCGCTAATTACGTCCACAAGCTGCACGATCCGCTTGCGTTTTAATCAAGAAGCCGCTCTGGAAATAACCTCCTGGTCACCTCCTTGTCGCCCGGCTTGGGTCGCACGCGGCGCTTCCCGCTGCTCCCTGGAGGCGCCCGGAAAGCTCCGGAAAAACAAGACTCCATCAGGGCGCTCGGAGCCCGGCGCGGTTTGAGGAAGGGTTAAATTTAGGCCGGCGTCTTGCATAGACCAGTTCTAGCATGAGAACAAGAGCCAGGGCTTCAAGGAGCATCCATTAAACTTCCCGCTCCCTCCAAGCTCAAGGGAAGCTCCCATTTGCTTCCCTAGTTTTTCCCACCGGGCTCCCGTGCCCCGGATCCCGGCAAGGGGCTCTCGAAGGTCCTGGGAGCGACGGTGACGCCGGGTGGCAGCGGGGAGGACGGGATACCGTGTTCGGGGCAGCCTCTGCGAGGCAGCAGCTCCTGCACCTGGGAGCAGGCTCAGGGCCCTAAAAATCCCTGTTTTTTTCGGGATTTGGGGGGCTGTTGCTGCTGCCTTGTCTGTAACTCCTTTGCTGGCCGATTTGGGGCTCTTCGATGCCTATTTTTGTGTCAGCCAGGGATGAGGGTTTACAAACAACTGGGTTATTTCAGGGTTGTTGCTGGTGCTGAGGCGGGGAAGGCTTCAGAGGAGCCCGTTCACGCGCGGGCCCCTGGAAAACGGCATTCCCGAGCGGGAAGTCGTGTTTCGAGCGGGACCCTTTCAGCCTTGCGGTGTGCTTGTTGCAGAGRCTGGAGAGGTGCGTGGGCATCGTGACATCGCTGACCAACGGGCTGTCCGAGAGGGAGGCCAATGACGCCCTGAACGCTCACGTGAGTGTCCCGCGCGCCCGGGAGTGTCCCCCACTCGGGGCAGGGGACACCCGGCCTGGAAGGAGCAATTTGGGGGGRTTTGTAGCATTCCAGCTCTCCGCAGAAGCTGTTAACAAGGCGCAGGAACAGGCAGGCATGAGGAGGCTGCGCAAGGCGCCCGCCGCCCAGGGCGATTGCAGTTAAAACACAGTTTTAATCCCCGCGTGGGAACGTCCTTGGCACCCGCRGGGCTGAAATGGGCCTCGGTGTCCCCCTGTCCTGTTGCACGGGGGCTTCGGGAGACGCCCCTCGCCCGGTTTTGCGCTCTGGCTTAACTCCTAGGCCTCCGAGCAGCCGGCCTGCAGCCCGCTGGAAAGGGCAGCCTGGCTCCTTCTGTCGAGGGATGCAGGCTTTATTTCTCACTCTTAAGTTAGAGTCTTAAAGCAAAGTCTTAAAATACTTGCCAGCGAGCTGCTGGCGTTACCGTATAAGGGAAGCTGCCGAGTGACATCTTAATGGGCTCTCGGGCATGTGGGTTGCATTTTTTTACTCCCCAGAACACCTTGGATTGCTGGAATCCGCGGTGTAATTTGCCTTTCCCTTAATGGGAAAAGGAAGGCAACGCCGGCTGGATTTCCAGCCTCCGGAGCTTGGGAAATGCTTTCCTGCTTGGCTGCAGAGCTTGCGGGAGCTTTAATAACAACCCCAACGGGCGCCACGGGTAGCGAAGAGGCTGCTCGGGTCCCCGGAGCAGGAGAGGACTCGGAGGTTCCCTCTGGTTTTCCCGATCAGCCTGGGGTTTGATGAGCAGCTAAAGATCCGGAGCTCAGGCGACCAGAGTCACCGCGCCGCTCCCTGTCCCCTTGCAGGACGCCTGTTCCTCAGCTTATGTCTTTTAAACACGCAGCACTTGCCTCGCAGGCCCTGTGAGAGGTTGGCAGCAGCGCACAGTTGTTTTATTCCCATCTTATCCCCATTTATCCCTATCCCTTTGTGATCCCGTTGCGAGTTCCCCTTGGATTTGCTGCCTTAGCCGCCCGTTTTGAAGCCCCGAGGAGGGTTTCTCGCCGCGGGCGCCTTCCTGACCCTCCTCAGCCTCATCCCTCACCTGCTTCCTCCCGCTCAGATATGCAAAGGAACCCCCCAGCACGAGGAGATTTGCCTGGGGCTCTTCACCCTCGTCTTGACCGAACCTGCCCAGGCGCAGAAGGTAAGGAGGCAGCTCCGGGGCCGTGTCGCAGCATCACGGAAGGGCTGAGGTTGGAAGGGACCTCTAGGGATCATCTTGGTTGCCCTCCACTGGTCGCTTTCTAAAGCCCCACGTCCCCCTTGTCCTGGGGAGCCCAGAGCTGCCCCCAGTGCTCCAGGTTTGWCCTCCCCAGAGCTGAGCAGAGGGGCAGGATCCTCCCTGCCCCGCTGGCACCGTCCTCGCGATGCAGCCACGAGCTCCTTGGCCACGAGGGCCCTGCTGCCCCRTGGTCACCTTGGTGTCCCCAGGACTCCCAGGTCCCTCTCTGCGGAGCTGCTCTCCAGCAGGTCAACCMCTGTGGTCAAYCCCTATTCCCCCTGGCCGGAATGCGCCGCGCTCCAAGCTGGATTTGCTGGAGCAGGACGATGTCGTCCGGAGGAACGCGGCCGCTGCCACCGCACGCTGGCGCTTGGCAGCGTTTCCTGCTCCCTGTCCTGGAGCGAGTTGCRTTTCGTGATGGGAGGCGAATGCTGCTTTCTAAAGAAGCTCTCAGGCATTTCCGAGGTTCTTCCTCGGTCTTTGGAGGCCCGGGATGGACTCGCGTGCTGGGATCCGCATGGATTCACCTCCAGCAATAATCATGTGGCCTCTGGAGAAGAAACAGCTCCAATTCCTAAACAAAGCTGCATCTTTGCAGTTCGCCTCTGCCAGCTTTCCAGGGTCTAAGTGCCGAGGCAGCTCCGCAGTTCTTTGCATCAAGCCCTTCCCAAAGCCCATCCGGAGCCCCGCTCCAGCTGTGGGGCTCTATCCCGCTATCCCCTCGCGCCCTGCGACTGGAGCGGGGATGTGGCCGGCTCCGGGATGCTGAGATCGGCCCCGGCTGCTCTTCCTGCCCTGGTGGGATCCGAGCGCGTTGCTTCCCATCAGGAATGATTGGATCTGCTGCAACCTGCCCTGTGTGTGCCCGGGAGCAGCGGATCCGTGCGGCTTCCCGGGAGCTGATCCCTGCCACAGAATCCCTCCAGGGCTTCCAAGCCAGTGCCAAGGCTCGGCTTTATCCTCACCCCTTGGGCTTGGCTCTTGCTGCCCCCTTCTCCTTTTGAAGCCGGTGCTGTGGGAGAAGGGAAGAGCTGGAGCCTGGGGAGCCTCCTCGAAAAGCCCTTTGGAGGCCTCATTAGCCCCTGGAAGGCGGATGCAGGCGCCAGCCCCGGCTCTCTGGCRTATGGTGACATTTAGTGGCACCAATTAACATTCATGCAGAGCCACTTAACGAATTACCGCCTAATGCCCCTCCACCCGCCACTGCTGGACTGGAGGGGAAGGGCGAGTGGGCCCCTCTGCGCTCTGCTCCGCGCGATTCCCGGCAGGCACAAGTGGATGAGGGGAGTCCCRAGGGAGAGCGGAGCTGCCCGAGGCCGCGGGTTGTCCCCCTGCAGCTCCGCCTGGTCCCGAACTGTTGCTTTGAGCCCCCTAAATGGAGCTCGACGTCGTCCCGTTGCTCTCCCGAGTTCATTCCTAGGCTGGGATCTGGTCGGGGTTGCGGGTTTTCGGCGCCGCTGGCCGTATCCGTGTCCGACCCGTGCTTCCCGCTGCAGTGCTACCGGGACCTGGCGCTGGTGAGCCGCGACGGCATGAACATCGTGCTCAACAAGATCAACCAGATCCTCATGGAGAAGTACCTGAAGCTGCAGGACACCTGCCGCACCCAGGTGAGGAGAGGCCCTTGTCCCCGGGGGGCTGCCGGGGCCCTCGGGGACGCGGGTGACAAGCGCTGCCCTCTCYTCCCCGCAGCTCGTGTGGTTGCTGCGGGAGCTGGTGAAGAGCGGYGTGCTGGGCGCCGACGGCGTCTGCATGACCTTCATGAAGCAGATCGCAGGTGAGTCCCGCCGTGGGCACCGGGGGCCTCCCGGAGGGCCGGGCCTCGCTCCGCAGCCTGGCCGGCTTTCCAGGGAGAGCCAGGCAGAGCCTGAGCCTGTCCCGGCCTGTCTGCCGAGCGGGAGCGAGCGGAGAAGGAGCCTTGGAGAGGCTGGTGCTYCCGACAGCCTCTGCAAGGGGGGAGTCGTGGCGGAGCTGTGCGGCTCCTGCCAGGCCTCCCCGCGGATGCTCCCTGCGGAGCTGCACGGGAGCGCYGGGACGCGGCTCCGGCTCCGCAGCACCGAGCCCGCTGTGTCCCCCATCCCTCCTCCCCATCCTACAGACGGGGTCTGCAGCTCCCCGGGTAGGGCCAGGCACTTCCCAGTGGAGCCGGCGCAGGCGCCCACGGCGCACACGCCTTTCCGGATGCTCCGGAACGGAGCCTCTTCCGTGTTCTCGGCTCGTGCCACTCGCTGACKTCCGCCGGGAGCAATTCCCGGCCCGCCGCGAGTCCCGCCGCGGCGCTTCCCTCGCTGCTGCCGCAGCCGCCTCCCAGTGCAGGAAGAAGCGGGCGGGAGGGAACAGCGTCCGGAGCGCCGGCCGAGCTGCCCCGGCCCTCTCCTCACGTTGGCAACAGGGGACATTTCCACGGCCGCTGGTGGCAGGGGTGGCCCTCGTCCCCCCCGGGCCGCATGGCCCCACTCGGGGCCCTCTGTGGAGGCCCTGGCTCTCTCGGAGGCTCCGAATCCGGGGCCCTCCTCGGATGCGGATCTTTCTGCCAGCGCCGGATACCAGGCGGCTGGAGGAGGGGGCTCGGCCGAGGCCGTGCCGGGGATCGGCGGGAGCAGGGGCAGCGCCGAGCGCTCCCGCTCCTCCGTCATCCCCCGGCTGTTGTTTTCCCACTGGACCCGCTTCCTTTGCTGCCCCAGACACGTTTTGCAGCGCTTGGGTTTTCCCTCTTCCAGCCTCCTCCTAACTACTCAATCTCATCCCTTTCTGGCTTCTCCATGCCCTTCCAGAAGGGTGATTATTGAGTCCCCGTTCCAGATGATTGCAGCTCTTTTCCAAGAGGGCTGTTGCAGCTAAGACCCTGTTGATCTCCTCAGAAACAGGAAAACAACCCTGCTCTGCTCGGGTCTAGGAATATGCTAAGAATATGCTAGAAATATGCTGGAAATATGCTGGAAATCTGCTAGACATGGGATATGTACATTGAGCAACAGCCAAGCGTGCGTGGCCAGCGGAACGGCCCGACCCCTGCCCTGGCCCGGGAGCAAAGTCATTAATTAGCTCCAGGCCTTCACACGGTCAATGCTTTGGATGAATCCGACCCCAGGGAAAGGAGTTCCCCCTTCCTCTAAGCGCATCTTCTCCCCCTTCTTCGGCTGCAGGTGGGGATGTGACAGCGAAGAACATCTGGCTGGCCGAGAACGTGCTGGAGATCCTCACGGAGCAGCGGTAGGGCCGCCGCGGCGTCCTCGGAATATTCCCTTCCTGCCTTTCCCCAGTGCTGGCAGGACTTTCCTCCATGAGGAGGAGGAGGACGATGGAGTTAATTGCCCCAAAAGCTTCCCATGTTTTAGCGGGACACGGCGGCCTCGGCGCTCACGTGGTCCTGGGTTGGCCAAGGGGCCGCGAATTGGTGCTGAGCGGTGCCGCGCCGCGCGTTATTTTTCAGCAGCCCTTCCATTTTCACCCGTAATAGCTGCGATTCTCCTGAAATTGCTCATTACTGTGCTTAACGATCAAGCAGTTAGGGCGTCTATTTGGCCGTAGCTAACGACGGCACTACCAGTGATTTTCCGCCGGGAATTGCTGGGCTGCGGGGAAGTGCCACCGAGTGCCACCTAGTGCCCCCAGTGCTGGAGGGAGCGCCGGGACAGCGATCCCGCCGGAGAAGCTTTGGATCGCCCCTGCGATCGATGCCCCCGGGTGCCTTCTGCCCCCGCCGCGGCAGCAGTTTCCCCTGCGCTGCAGCTGCTGGYGGGGAGGTGCTGACCTGGCAACCCGCCGCGCTCCAGCCTTAATTATCCCTCCTCGTCCTCCTCCCGGCTAATTAACCCGCGCTGGCCTCCCGCGCCGAGCCGGCGGGCCCCGCTTCCCGGCGGCTCCGACTGCAGTGGGTTGTGTAGCCCCGAGCAGGCCCAGCGCGTTCCCTGCGGCCGCTGCGGCTGCCCGGGTCTGGAGCAGGGAAAAGCTGCCKGGCATGCGGGGATCCACAGCTCCATGCTTGGGATCCGCAGCTCCGCGCTCGGGATCCGTGGTGCCAGATCCGCGCTCGGGATCCGCGGCTCCGCACCCGGGATCCACGGTGCTGACTCCACACTCGGGATCCACAGATGCACACTTGGGATCCGTGGCTCCATGCTCGGGATCCGCGGCTCCGCGCTCGGGATCTGTGGTGCCAGATCCGCACTCAGGATCCCCGGCTCTGTGCTCGGGGTCCGCGGTGCCGGTCCCGGGCCGCTCCATGCGCTCACGTGGGGCACGTTGCCCCTCTCCATTGCGAATAGCTGGGGCTGCTGTGGCGCCGAGCGCGTCGGGGACCCGCACGCAAACACCTGGGCACCTCGCGGGCAGGCRGCTCCGGAAGGTCTCCCTTTTCCCTGGCTGCTTTTGCAGGGAATGGGTCCTGAAGAGCAGCATCCTGATCGCCATGGCGGTGTACACGTACCTGCGGCTCATCGTGGACCACCACGGCACCTCGCAGCTGCAGGCGCTTCGGCAGAAGGAAGTGGATTTCTGCATCTCGCTGCTCCGCGAGCGGGTGAGCGGCGGCGGGAGGCCTCGCTCCCTGAGGAGTTTGTGCAGGAAAAGGGAGCAGCGGGAGGAGAGCAGGATGAGAGGGATCTTATCAACGTGTACCGATACCAGAGGGGAGAAGGTAGGGAGGAAGGGGCCAGGCTCTTCACAGCGGTGGCCAGTGACASGACAAGGGGCAGTGGGTATGAGTTGAAACAGGGGCAGTTCCATCTGCATGGAAGCATCTCCCTGGGGTTCCTCAACGCTGYGCCAAGGAGAGCGATTCCTCCCTTGCAGAGGCTTCGACGGGACGGTTGCGGTTCTAGGGATGCCCTCCCGTCCGTCCCGTGCAGTAAAAGCCCCCCGGCGGCCTTGCCCCGGCCCCGCGGGCTCTGCTGCCCCCCGGCRCTGCCCTTGCTGGGCACCGAGGCCCAACGTCAAGTCCGAGACTTCAGAGCCTGCCTGCCATCTGGGAGGGGAAGAAATGCCAGATTTATGGGCCGATTGTTTGCTTTACGAGGGAGAGAACATTTTAAAATAGCCGCTGACCTTCCCGCCTGTCAGCCCGCCCCTTCGAACCTGCTTGCTTCAAAAGAGGGGCAGGCTGCCAGGGGCAGGAGCTCTAATGTTGTGCAAGGAGTGAATCATCTGGAGCCRCCGGGAGGTCGAGGCACTGGCTGTTCCCCCCCCTTGATGCCTTCTCCCTTCCCCCCGGCGTGGGAGCAGGTAAACACTAAATGAGATTTTTTCCCTTTTTTTTTTTTTCCTCTCCTTTCCCAAGTTCATGGACTGCTTCATGATTGGCCGGGACCTGGTGAGGCTCCTGCAAAACGTGGCCCGAATTCCCGAGTTCGAGCAGCTCTGGAAGGACATCATCCACAACCCGCAGGTCCTCAGCGCGCAGTTCACAGGTAGGCGAGGATGGAGACCGGGGGGCTCCGTGGCAGCCCTGCCAGGCGAAACGCACGGGGCTTGTGGCCTCTCACGTCCTCAAAGGAGGGGATGCCAAGAGCCAGGATTGTCCCCTGATGCCATCACAAGCCCACGTGTTTGCTCCTAAAACCCATCTCCTCACCAGGTAGAAGGAGGCGCCTCCACAAGCAGCTCTTTGATGGCTGCAGGGAGCTGGGGAATCAKGGAGGGATGGGAACAGCCTCCCGGGATCCACCCAGGAGCTTAGYAGCTTTTACCATGCCTTAAAATGCTGTATGCGGGCTCTGGACTATCCCCCAAAACGGATGCTTCAGGCAACTGTAGTGACATATCAGGAGAAAGCCAGGGTTAGGGAATTAAGCTATTGCTTGTTCTGGACTTAAAACTTCTGCAAGTTCAGTTATTTTTTTTTAATTTATAAGCTTATAAGCTTATAAATTATAATCTCAGCTAATGTATAAGCTGAGTTGAAGGTGTCCAGAGTTGAAGGAGCCCAAAGATCTAAAGTGTCCGAGTTCTCCAGACTTTCTGGAAGGGAAGTCTAGGGAAGTCTGCGACTCTAAAGCAGGAGGACCAGAAGCTGCAGGAATTGACACTTTCTAAATGAGATTTTTTTTTCCTCCCAGTAGCCTCACACTCTTGGTGTGCAGCAGTGCTCAGCTATGGAGGTCCCTGCATAAGCCTGGCTTAAAATAGAATTGACTGAGAGAGTGTTATATTTTGTTGTGGGCATAAATTATTCACTTCTCCGGGGCTGTCACACCATTACGTGTCTGCATCAGCTCTTTMAAGTGTCCTCCTTCCCCCCGAACGCCTGCTGCCCTCTTGGGGCCACATTAATGTCCCTTTAAAGAGCTCRGATGTTGCTCGGGGACAATCACGACACCTCATTTGATTAAATGCTTATTAAACTCGCTGGTCTCTGGCTGCTTCTGCATCTTCAGAGCCTCTCCTGCCGTTGCTGAGGGCTTCAAGGAGGGAGTTCTCCACCAGGTCTGGGCCTCAGAGTTGGTCCGTGGGGTTTAGGGAGGCATTTTACTCCACGGCTAAGGCAGGTTTGCRTTTGTAGGGCTCAGCCCTGCCTCTGCTTCCAACTCTGGTCCTGCTGCAGGTATCCTCAGCATTGTCTCCATCTCCACAGTGGAATGCTGAGCTCTCCTGTTCCTGCTTGGAGTGTCCTGAGCACTTAGCAAACATCCCTGCCCCTTTGCATCCTCCCCACAGGCAGCCAGCTGGGGATGCTTCGTGTTTTGTAACCTATTTTAGCCAAAAGAGCACAAGAAAATGATGCCCACGTTGGGGCTGGCATCAACCGCTCCTTGTCTGTTGGGCACCACAGCACGTGGCCCACGACGCTGCCCGGCCATCCGTAAAGGCGAGAGGAGCAGAGTGCGACTCCGCTGCCCCGTAACCCCCGATCCCTTGCGGAGCTCCAGGCTCCTGCCACCCAAAACTGCAGCTCTTGCGGCTTGGAAGCTCCTCCCTTTCCAGCCGCCTGGGATTGAGAGCAGCTCTGGCAACCTCCGCTTCTCTTTTCCGTTCTGTGGTAGCGCTGGTTGTGTGCCATTCTCCTCTTCTCCCTTGGGTGCCTTCACCCAGGGGAGAAGCTGGAGCTAAATGGGGGTAGAGCCCCCCAAATGCCCTGTTCGTGGGGCYGTCTCGCAGCACCTGGGCTGAGCTCTAGTCTGCAGAGGCCCCAGGGTGTTTGCTGCAGCAGGGACAAGTCTGAGGGCATCTTCATGTGCCCTTGTGAAGGGCTGAAGGACGGGGAAGGTGCTCGGTTGGTCACAGCTGCGACCTGGAGCCTGGACTTGCCTCGTTCCTCTGTAGCCCTGGGGCAAGGGAGCTTAATGCTCCACCCATGGGCTCCAGACTTGCCGAGGACAGTGGTGAACGTGGGTCCCGTGGGGCTGTGCAAGCTCAAACCTCTCTCTGCCTCTCCCCAGGTGTCCTGCAGCTCCTGCAGTCAAGGACTTCTCGCAAATTCCTGGCCTGTCGCCTTACTCCCGACATGGAAACCAAGCTCCTCTTCATGACCTCCCGGGTAACTGCTCTGCGCCCCGCTGTGCCCACRCTGAGGGAAGCGGGCGCTCGTCTCGGCGCTCCTTGGGGTCCCCATCCCCTCCCCGCCGTGGTCCTGAGCGCAGTGCCAGGGGCTCCCAGCCGCTGCTGGTCCCCTCCAGCTCCTGAGGTTTCCTATGGAGCTCTGCAAGGGAAAACGTTGGACACAGCTGAACAATGTCGGGGCGAGGAGCGGCCCRTGGGGCAGAGGGTCCAAATTGTGCTTGTCCCAAAGCGGTGTGACCCGTTACCTGTGTGCGGGCAGGGCTGGAGCCCCCCGGCTCTGCCCCCTTCACGCTCACTGAGGCCGCTCACGGGCTTGGGCACGTGGGAGACCCAGGGGCCTTCGGCCTCCTCGGTCTCTCCAAAGCCACTGCCAACATAGGGGCTGACGGGGAGCAGGGCATGACCCAGAGGCTGCCCAAAAGCAGCGCCCGCTGCTTGGCACCGGTCTTTCCCAGCCTTTCCCGTGTCCCATCGGATGCTCCCAAGCCCTGAGCGGACTCCCCATGTCCCCTTCTCTCCGCAGGTGCGGTTCGGCCAGCAGAAGCGCTACCAGGACTGGTTCCAGCGCCAGTACCTGTCCACCCCCGACAGCCAGTCGCTGCGCTGCGACCTCATCCGCTACATCTGCGGCGTGGTGCACCCCTCCAACGAGGTGCTCAGCTCCGACATCCTGCCCCGCTGGGCCATCATCGGCTGGCTCCTCACCACCTGCACGGTGAGGCACCCTGCGAGTAGCGCCCGGGTCCTGCAATTAGTGCCTGGTTCCTGCAGCTAGCGCCTGGGTCCTGCAATTAGCGCCCGGGTCCTGCAGCTAGCGCCCGGTTGCAGCACGTGAAGAGCCGTTCAAAATCTGTCCTTGCCGAACTCGGCCTGATAGGGAATCACGGAACTGCCTTGCGGGAACATGCTGGAAGCCGCTGCGGAGCCCGGGATCAGCTGCTTGTTGGCTGGGCTGAGGGAGAGAAGCTCAGAGGAGTGGTTAGGACATTGGTTGGTGTTCCGAGCTCTGCGTTTTAGTCCTGGCTCTGCTGCACGTGGGATCCTTTGGGATCATCTTTTCCAACATAAATCTCGCTTCCAAGTGCTGGTCTGCCCTTTAGTTTTGCCTTAGGCTTGTGGCTGCCGTCCAAGTGTTGGGGCCTCTCCTGTGCGAGCAGGGGGGCAAGAGCAGAGCAGCGAGAGCCTTCGCTGCAGCCGGGCTCTCCCATCCACCATCTCCTCCCGGCCGGCCCTGCCTTATCCCGGCAGCCCCTTGCGTTATCAAGGAGAGCAGAGCCCGAGGCGGAGAGGAAATGCCTGCTCATGTGCCCGTGGAAGCCGAGCTGATAACAACGGGCGATACGCAGGGGCTGATTGCACCCAGGGCAGGCCCTGCCTAGCAGAGCACAGGGTTTGTATCCCCCCCGGGCTTAGCGCTGCAGCTCGGCCTAGCGCCCTGCCTGGAGCTGCTTTCCCAGCTGGTGGTTTTGCCACGGATTTGCCCTCCCTGTCTGCACGTTCCCCCCTGCTCAAGCAGCCGGAGGTGCCAACAGGGAGCAGTTGCCAGCTCTGCCCTGCRCTGGTGGTGGGAAGAGCACCGCGTGTGTCCTCTCCTGTGCCACAGCTGCCAGCAGGGCGTTCTGGGTCCCACAAAAAGGCAATATCAGGAGCCAATCTGCTGGGCATCCCAAAGGGAGCAGGGCTCAGGTCTCTGCTCAACAGCCAATTTAAATTAGTATTATTTTTTGTCTTCCAGTCCAACGTTGCTGCTTCAAATGCCAAACTCGCTCTCTTCTATGACTGGCTTTTCTTCAGCCCGGAGAAGGACAGCATCATGAACATAGGTACTGCGTGGGGAGCCTGTCCCTAGGTGGACACRGGTCAAAAGAAAGGGCTGGTGGCTTCCAGAGCTGCTAGAGGTGGTGGGATCTGATCCCCGATGCTCCGGAGGCCGAGGGCCRGGTCTGTGGGTGCAAACAGGGTGCAGGAGGGTCTCCGGGGTGGCTAACAAGGTCCTCCTTGCCCCGTCTCTCTTGCAGAGCCTGCCATTCTGGTGATGCATCACTCCATGAAGCCTCACCCCGCCATCACCGCCACGCTGCTGGACTTCATGTGCCGGGTGAGCCGTGCCGAGCCGGAGAGCTCCGTGCCTTGCCCGGGGAGAGCTCCGTGCCTTGYCCGGGGAGAGCTCCGTGCCTTGCCAAGCGGCCGCAGTATCGGGGTGCCGGGGAGCGACCCGCTCCGCAACACGGGCAGGGGACCCCGCAGCGGGAACCGGCCCTGCAAGAGCCTTCAGCCGCGCTCCGCGCTGCTGCTCCTGAGCTTCAGTGACCACCAGCGTCACCCTGTGCACTGAAACACAGAGCAGAGCCCCGGAGCCCGCTCCCCGCGGGCCGGGCGCGAGGGCGGGCGCCGCTCGCGCCTGCCCGGGCAAGGCACATGGCTCTGCTCCCTTGCAGGGCAAAGGCAGCTGCTGTGCCAGCCCCCAGCAGGAGAACTATGCAAAGCCCTCGAGGCGGTGATAATTTGAGCGGAACAAAAACAGTGTCACCTCGCCGCCCGTTGTCTAGAGCAAGAAAAATGGCTTTCCCCGCCTTGTTTTTTTCCGCGTTCCTCAGTGCATCAGCTGGGCTGTTCTGCCCCGAGCCTCCCGATTGCAAAACCGCCTGCAGAATAACTCCCTATCTCTCTCTTTTAACCTCCCTTTGCCTGTGCTCGCTCGAGGAGGCCTTTTCCCCTTCCTGCTCCCTTCCTGCTCCTCCAAGACCGTAGTTAGAGGCTCTGGCTCTGCTGTGGACAAGCTCTTTGCCTGATAAACCCAAGCACTGAAGGCTTTGATGATGTTTTATGGTGCCTCGCGAAATGCAGGGCCATTTCTAGAGCTGTGAGCCTTGGGCTCATGTGTTACTCATTAATGGGAAGGCCACTGTGGGAACAAACAGGAGGCTTCCCAGCTCTGCGAAGAAATCCTTCCAGGATGAGGAGCACGAGTAGGAAAAGGGCCTCGGAATTGTTCCCTTTAGTGCTTGGCCTTCAGCCTGGGTCACCCCCGAGGGGAAAGAGAACCTCRTTGCAACTGGGGATGAGTCAGAGGCACCTCCCTGCAAAGGGAGGCCCCCCTTGGGCAGAAATCATGGGGAGCGGAGCTGGTGGCACCCCTCTCCTCAGAGCGGGGGTGCTCAGAGCGCCCGTTCCAGTCATTTGCCCCCCAGGAGCTCCTGGGGTTCGTGGAAGCGGGGCCGTTGCGTGGCGGGGGCTGCGGTGCGTCCCTCCCTCGCGCCGCGCGCTCCCGTCCTGTCCGCGGCCAAGAGCAGCTGCCGCTGGCCGGGGATCTGGGCGGGAGGTTCGTGGGGTGACCCGCGTGCCAGAACGAGCTGGCCCGGCCCTCCCGAAAGCTCAGGGCTGCGGGGGGACTTGGCTGGACAGTGAGAACATGAAGGGGGTTATTTAGAAGGTGCCCATCTCTCCCCACAAYCCCTTGGAGACGCAGTGACAAGGCCCTGGAGGGGTCTCTTCTGTGTCCTGGGTCCTCTTAAACAGCATCACAGCTGTGCAAGAAGCGCCAGCTGCTCCTGCAGCCATCGCCGCTGGTGGGGACGTGGCCCTGGGCCTGTCCCCGCTCCCCGGGTGGCACCTGGTTGCTCTTGTGGCCCGTGTCCAAGCGCACCCCGCGCCCAAGGGCAGGTAACGGGTTCACCAGCATGRCTCTGACTTGCTCTCTCCCTCTCTTCCAGATCATTCCCAACTTCTACCCGCCGCTGGAGGCTCATGTCCGGCAAGGCGTCTTCAATTCTCTCACCCACATTGTGGAGAAGCGAGTCCTTGCGTAAGACAGCCCTAAATTTGACCGCTTTTCTTAACTAGCTACTTTGCACCAGGCTTCCTGGCGCCCCGTGTCACCAGCCTAGCAAAAACGAACTGCAGCCCCTGCGAGAGCTGCTGAGGGCATTTGTATTATTTATGAACACAAATATGTTCGTATTGAAGACACAGCTGCGTATTTATGGCCCCGAGGCTGGTCCTGAGATCTGTTCCTTGCGCTAAGAGGAAGGGTGGGATAAATAAACTAGAGCTGCTCTGTGGAAATAGGAATGTCCCCAAACCGGGAATGTCCCCAAACCRGGAATGTCCCCAAACCAGGAATGTCCCCAGACCTTTGTGGAGAGCAAACAGGCAACTCGTTTGTGGTGTTTCTGCCCTGCAGACGCTTCCTGCAGCAGCCAAGCTCCCCTCTCTGCCCAGGCCTCTCCACTTCTCCCCATGGGCCCTTTGCTGCCCCAGATCTCGGTGGGGACAAAGTGGGGGACCCCCAGCTGCTCTGCGGGTGGGAGGCCCGAGCTTGCAGGCCCCAATGCGAGGCAGAGCCCTTGGCCAGCCGAGGAGGGCTTCACATCAGGGCTCTTCTCCATCTCCTTGCAGAGAGGGGAGCATYTGGGGCCTCGCCCTGCTCGGCAGCGAGAGGGCAGAGTTGGGACAAGGGGCTTTGTGGAGCTTCGGGCTGCTAGGGAGAATCCAGGCGGATGGGGCTGGAGAAGGGCAGGGCGTGCGGGGCGGTTGGGTTGGGGTTTGGGCCCCCCAGCTGCTGCTGGGCAGCGGGGCTGGTCCCAGCAGGGCGCTGCTTCTCCTCCCCTCCAGACACCTGGCCCCTCTCTTCGACAACCCCAAGCTGGACAAGGAGCTCCGTGCCATGCTGAGGGAGAAATTCCCGGAGTTCTGCAGCTCGCCCTCGCCCCCCATCGAAGGTAGGGAGCGGGGCAGGCGGCGGCTCCCGCCCCACGGAGCCCTCCCTGGCGCTCGCTGCTGCTCGGGGCTCTGCCAGGGCTGCAGCAGGGCCAGGGGGGGCTCCTGCCCTTGAGCCCGTTTCTCCTTCCCATCAAACTACCCGTTTCTCTGTGTGCTCCACAGGGGCTGCGTAGCCATCCTCCTCTGTACACTAATTGATTAGTAAAATAAGATTAAGTAAATAGCGCTTCTACCCTGCGCTTAAGCAGGAAGTGCTGCTGCTCGGTCCGTTGTGCAGAAGGACGGGGCCTGTTGGGCTCCTCGTTGCACGAGCTGCTCCAGCAGCARGGGCATCTCCCCGCGCGGCGAGGCTCGCTGAAGCTGATGGCGAGGCCGAAGCCCGGGGCCTGAGGCCACCGCGGGCGAGGGACGGCGCAGGAAGCGCGATGCTCAGGCCTTGGCTGCTCTTTCCAAACGTGGCACCGAAGGGGGATGGTTAAAGAGGGTCTCGTTGCCCTGAGTGGCTTTCCGGAGACTTGCCCAGTGTCTCTTCCCCTTCCCAGGGTACTTGGTCTCCTCACTGGAGCCAGTACACGCAGCTCGGAGACAGAGCCTGTCCTGCCCCRGGGCAGTGCCGGGAGCCACCGTCACCTCTCCCCTGCTCTTAACTCCTCTGCGTTCGCTCTTGCAGTCAAAATCGAGGAGCCCGTTTCCATGGAAATGGACAATCACATGGCTGACAAGGATGACGGCTGCTATGACAACGCGGAAGCCGCGTTCAGCGACGACGAGGAGGACTTGAACAGCAAAGGTGAGGGATGCACTCGGCTGCTGCTGCTGCTCCRAAGCACTTGGGGCATGGTGCAGGGTGAAGAGCTGCCTTCCGCCTCAGGAAAGGTCTCCTGGACCTTCTCCGCTCGGGTGGTTGTTCCCTAAAACTCGATCGCTTTGGATAGGACGTGTCCTCCGCTCTGCCTCATCCCGGAGCCGCGCTGTCCCGTGCGCTTGGCAGTCGGGCCCCGTGGCACATGCTGCCCTGGAGGGGTTTGTTTGGGAACAGGGTGTCCCTGTTTTCAGGCGGCAGCGGCTAATGAGGCTCCGGCCGCTAATTGCGTGGTCTGCATTACGTGCACAGGAGGCCTCCCCGTCTAGAGGCAGCAGGCGGCCGCACGAGGCCACAGGCCCCTCCGGCAGCTCCCTGGAGCTGGGGGCACCTCAGGCTGCTCCTGGCCTTGGTGCAGGGGCTCTTGTGGGCTCCCTGCCGTGCTGCAGAGCTTCACCCGCTGCTGCCAGGGACCACAGGCCTAGGGTGGGGTGGAGGAGCGTGACACTGGGCTGTAGCCCTGTGTCCCCGCAGCGCCCTGTCACCGGCGTGGGGCTCCCAAAAGGGACATGGGCTCAAAAGCCTCCCGTGAAGGGAGTCCCGTGCTCATGGCTCCCTTGCTGACGCTTGTGATTCCCTCTTTTTCTGGGACCCGGGAGGATCCCCTGCGTTAGGATCCAGGCCTGCCTTGCCAGGGCGCTGTGACCCACGCACGRCCCCAGAAGGTGAAGGCAACATCTCACACATGCTACTTGCCCCCATGGTGACTCCTGCCACTGTGACACAGACCTGTGAGGCTTCCCAGATGGAACAGCTCGGGAAATAGCGGAAAACTATTCCCCGGTTGCTTGCTTTGTTGCAGGGAAGAAGAGGGAGTTCAGGTTTCATCCCATCAAGGAGACCATTGTGGAGGAGCCTGTGGATATCACACCGTTCCTGGACCAACTGGATGAGTCGCTGAAGGATAAAGTCCTGCAGCTGCAGAAGGGCAGGTTGGTCTTTTGGAGTGCTGCTGTGCTGCTCGTTGGTCTCTTCAGCCACACGCAGGACCTTGCAGTAGTGTCAGGCAACCAAGAGTCCATCTCTCAAGGCTAATGGTACCTGTGGTGTGTATGGCWTTAACGTGGACACTCTTTGGGGGGGCCTTTTGAGACTGCTGCTTCTGGGGTGTTTCCGTGCCTCTCCTCATGGGGCTCGTTCCCCAGCGATGGAGATGTGCCTGTTCTTTGGATTTCCTCATCTCCACTGTAGATTTGACAGTGACCTTGGAATTAACTCCATCTAAAGCAGGTTCAAAAGCTCTCGCTTTCCAGGCCTTGGCATAGTAGGCTGATTTAATTTATGCCTTGATGGCTTAAGTGCATTTAATCTTAGGCTTTCAGCCATTTAATTAGTTTGTCTTGCTGCAGACTGCCTCGGGGCACTTAGGGAAGTAGGTGCTGCAGCCGTGGAGTCCGTTGTGCCAGGGCCGGGGCTCTGCGGTGCCTTCTGAAGGGCACCAGCACAAAGCAGGGCTTGGGACCGGGGGGGTCCTGAGCGTGGCCAGCTCAGCACGAAGCCCCCTCGTCCCTGCTCCCTGTATCTTCCTCTGTAACTTGGATTTCCTCTTGTTTTTGTGCTGCAGCGATACGGAAGCGCAGTGTGAGGTCATGCAGGAAATCGTGGATCAAGTCCTGGAGGTAACGGCCCAGAGCTGGGAGCGCCGCTGCCCTGGGAGCGCCGCAGCTTGCCCGGCTCCTCCCGCGGAGCGGGCAGAGCTGCCCGCAAACTGGGGCGCAGGAGGAAGCTCGGGCCGTAAACGAGGTCAAAGCGACCCCAGGCAGCTCCATCCGTGGCCGTTGCACCCAGCTGCAGCGTCCCCAGCTCCAAATTGCCGATCGCTGGAGGTTTTTGCAGCGGGTTTTGCTCGGCCTGAACGTCTGCCCGAGGTGCAGGCAGAGGCAGGAGCCGCTTGGCCCAGCTGGGGAGCTGCTGGGCTCTGCACGTGGGCTCGGCAGCCGYAGCCTTCCCTGCTTTTGGCCCGGGACCTCGCGCCCACGAGCGGCTGCAGCAAGTGGGAGAGACTTCACTGCTCTCCAGGAGGGAGCTGGACCTCATCCCCTCSCTCCAAGCAGCTCCTTCGGAGTCAAGCGGCCTCTCGGCGCGCGGCGGCTGCTCCTCTCTGGGCAAACGCTGGGAAAGGGGCTGCGAGGGGGGGAAATCCTCCCTGCTCCGCAGAGGGAGAGCTGAGCTCAGGGCATCGCTGGCTGGCAGAGCAGGAGGGCAGCACGGGCAGGGGGAAGCAGCTTGGATCATCTTGCTGCTGAGCAGCTCCGGTCCCGCGCCGGGAGGTTCTTCTCTAACCAGACCTGTGCTGGGCAGGCAGCCTTTGAGCTCCTGCTTCCCCTTCTCGTTTCTTCTTTCCACCAGGAGGACTTTGACTCAGAGCAGTTATCAGTGCTTGCATCCTGCCTCCAGGAGCTATTTAAGGCTCATTTCCGTGGTGAGGTTTTGCCAGAAGAAATCACAGAGGAGTAAGCATTTATTTTCCTTTCGTCTCATCCTTTCACGGTGCAACTCGGGCTTTTCGCAGTGAAATTGCCACCGTTTTCCCAAAGTTGCACTGAAAGCACCAGCTTCTTTGGGACGTCCGCAGTTCACAAGCAGTCAGCATGAATTTGCTTAGTAGTTATTATATCCAGGGTACCAAACGGGTTGGATTCCTCCTTTGCATGAACCCAGGCAGAAACTGCTGCCCCACGTCCCCCTGTCCGATTCAGCTGATGCTTTTGGGGCTGCTCGTGTTTGCCCAGGGCACGTGGGATGCTAAATACTCCCCGTATCCCTGCTGTAGCGACACAACACAGCCCTCCTCCCAGGTTTTGTTGGGCAGAGCTCAGTGTCAGAGCCCCCGGGTGCTGTTAGGAGGCCTATTTCTGTCTCTCCATCAGCTCGGGCTGATCCCTACGGGCCCCAAGCACTGCAGCAGACACCGTGCAGGGCTTTTTCTTGGCTGTTTGTTGCTCCCGAGCGGGGAGCACGTGCACACAGCGCCCTGACCATTGCCTTTGTCCTGCAGGTCTCTGGAGGAGTCGGTGGGGAAGCCGCTCTACCTAATATTTAGGTATGTCTGATATTTCTGAGAAGTCCAGGGCTTTTTTTTTTTTGGTGACCGCCATCAGGAGAGAACTGCGTGGATCTAATTCTGCCATCTCCCTGCTCCCCAGGCGCCCAAAGCCGGGCGACGTTATTGCCTTGTTCTGCCTACGCTGTGTTTGCTTTAGTAAAACCCCTTCAAACAGAGGAGAATCGCAGCTTATCTGCTTGTTTATGGAAGCTCAGGATTCCTGGGTCCTTCCCTGCGTGGCCGCAGGTTCCTGGCCCCTGCCTGTTGTTGCTGTGTGGTCTGTGATGCCCAGCCGCAGCCCCGTGTCCCATTAGGAGAGAGATCACGGGGACAGCGGGTACCTGGAGCTGCCTCTCCCCACGTGCGGCTGCTCCCTGGTGTCACCACAGAGCTCTCGTGCCGTGTCTCATATAGTTGTCTCCTGTGCTCCTCCAGGAACCTCTGCCAGATGCAGGAAGATAACAGCGGCTTCTCGCTGCTGCTGGATCTCCTCTCCGAGCTCTATCAGAAGCAACCCAAGATCGGCTACCACCTTCTCTACTACTTAAAAGCCAGGTAGGCCCGAGGGAGTCGCAGGGGGAGCGTTGCCGTGGCCCGTGCTGCCCCCAGGGCCAGCTTGGCAGCACGTTGGCGCTGGCTGGAGACCCGGCCACCCCTCAGCGCCGCGTGTCTCCCTCCAGCAAAGCTGCAGCCGGCAAGATGAACCTCTACGAGTCCTTCGCCCAGGCCACGCAGCTGGGCGACCTGCACACGTGCCTCATGATGGACATGAAGGCCTGCCAGGAAGACGACGTGCGGCTGCTCTGCTACCTCACGCCCTCCATCTACACCGAGGTAGGGCCCTGCCCGGCCCCGGCACCACCGGGGCGCTTGGGTCCACGTTTATTGCCACCCTTCGCTTGGCTGCTTTGAGCACCCCGTGCTGAGGGGGAGCCAGCTGGCCCTGTCGAGGCAGTGCAGAGCAGAGCTCGCTTGCACCGGAGCGCTCAGCGTCTGCCGGGATGGGTCAGGGCTCAGCCGCCGTTCCCACGGGGCCGTCTGGCTCCTGGACGGAGCAGCCGTCACCGGCCCCGTGCCAGGACGCTGCTGCCTCGGCCCACGGCCCCGCGGGCTCCACTCGCGTCTCCGAAAGGGTCGCGGGGCCCCRGCCTCCAGCGGCGCTCCGGCCTCGGGGAGGCCCGGGAGGGCAACGTCACGCGCTCGGAGCGGCCGTTGCCCTCCCGCTTTCCCGTTCCCYGGGAGGAATGAGCTGCCCCCTCCTTCCCCGCCGGCTGCCGCGCCAGAAACAACTGTCTGGAGTTGAGGCCGCTCTGCCCAAAGCTGGAGGCCCCAGAGCCGTTACTGAAGCCAGTGGGTGTAGGGAGAACACTTCTTCCCGGCGTGGCCTCCGCTCCTTGCGGAGCCTCCTCGCTCCTGCTGCGCCCGCYGGCCCGGGCAGCCAGTGCTTCTCGGTGTATGAACCTGGCTGCCCCCGACTTGGTCAAATCTCCGGCTTCTTGGCTCCTTTGGCCGCCTTCCTCGCTGCGGCCTCAGCTTCCTCAGCTGGGGAGCCGCCGCCGAGCCCTGCCTTCCCTCTGAACCCTTGCAGTTCCCCGACGAGACGCTGCGAAGCGGYGAGCTGCTCAACATGATCGTAGCCGTCATCGACTCGGCCCAGGTAAGGGGGTCGGAGAGTTGGAAGGGAGCTTTGGAGACCGGCTGCACACGCAGGGCCGCCCGGWGCCCGGAGCAGCTTCACCCTGCAGCGGCAGCTTGGGCTCTGCTAGGCCTGGGAGAGTTAAACCTGAGCTAGGAGAGCGGCCCATCCCTTGGGAATGGGGGGCAGCAGTCTCCCTGTTTAGTCCTTCTTGCCCTCGGTCCTGGGGGAGCAAGTGTCCACGGGAGCTCGGAGGCCTCCCGGGATCCCTCCCGCTGGAGCCGTCGCRGCACGCGGAAGCAATTCCGCGCACGGAGGAGCTGCCGTGGCGGGAGGGTGAATCCAAGCTGCTCCGTCCGCGGGATTTCCTAGGCCCCCCAGCTGTGTCATCCAAGCCGGGAGGGATTTGCCTGGATTTGCGGTGATCCCTGTTGAGTAACAGGCACGGCAGAGCCGCCGGGGGCCGAGAGGCCGGCGACGGCTCCGGCGCCAGGAACGCCAGGCTAATCCCACGGGATCAGCCGCGCAGGGGGCCCTGCCCGTGGGCTGCTCACCTGCCGCGCGGGTGTCCCGCAGCGGGGCTGTGAGGAAGAGCGCGGAGAGCCGGGAGGAAGGCTTAGAGAGCTGCAGCCCCAAGGCCCCCCCCGGGCGCTGCCAGCGCTCCCCATCCCAGCGGGAATGCCGGGCAGCCAGCGGGAAGCTGAGGCCTCTCCCCAGAAGGAGCCTTTCCCCACAGGCCCTGCAGGGACACCCTTGGGAGCAGCCCCAAAATAGTGCCGGGGGCGGCGCCGGCGGGAACGCTGCCTTTCCAGCCGGCGGGAACGCTGCTATTCCCAGGCGGCGTGGCGCGATGTGCCGATAACCCCTCGGCTCGCCCTGTGCTCACAGCCGGCCCCGGGCCCCGCTCTCCCTGCCCGTTTTGCTTGGCAGCCCTTGCAGCGCTCGGCACAGGGGGGCTCCGAGCGGCCCTGGCTCGGCTCCGCGCTCCCGGGACCGTTTCCTCCTTGGCCCTTCCCGTTATTCTCCGGCCGTGGAGGCCTCCCGACCGTCCCCGCGGCTCCGGGCGCCCCCGTGCTCTCTGCAGCCTCCTCCGTGTCCCGCTGCCGCCCGTGGGGACACCGGCCGTGTGTCCGTCCTCAGCCGCCGCGCTCCGGAGCCCGGCCGGGCAGCCCGCGCTCGCTGCCCGCGCCCGGCGGAGCCGCTGACGCCACGTGCAGTTGCAGGAGCTCGTGTGCCACGTCATGATGGGCAACCTGGTGATGTTCCGCAAGGACTCGGTGCTCAACATCCTCAGTGAGTAGCGCRGCGGGCACCGGCCTCCCCGAGGCCTCCGGCGCCGTCCCGCCGAGCCCCGCGCTCCCTCGGGCCGGCGCCGCTGCCYTAAGGCTTGGCCGGGGCGTCCGAGCTGGGATCCCTTGGAGGCACTGGGCAATGCAGCTCAGGGCTCGGAAATCCTGGGATCGGGATTTCCTGGCGTTTGCTGGCGCTGGCGACGCCTCCGCCGTTCCCTGAGGGAAGCAGCCGAAAGGCCCTGGCTGCAGTTTAGCCCGGGCACCGCTGCATGTGGCCCCGCCGRCGCGGAGCCGGTGGCGCTCCCGGCGGGAACGCCGCTGCCCGCAGCTGCAAGGAGCAGCCTGAGCCTCTTAATGAGGAGCCTCCTTAATTCTCATCCCCGGAGCAGCTGCGGTGCCGACAGTGCAGCCCTGGAATGGGAGCCCTCGGCTCATCCTGGTGCCACCCGCTTGGTCCCAGAGCCGACATGGGGTCCAGGGGGAGGGATGGGCCCCCGAGTGCCATCCAGCTGGGAGCTCTTCCCGCACTCCCAGTCCGGATCCCAGCGCGCACGCGAGCGGCCCGGCCACAGCACCACGTGGGATGCGCCCGGAGGCGGCGGGATGCGCCCAGAGGCGGCGCGGGGCCGAGCCGTGCGTGGGGCTGAGCGGGTCCCGTGCCCCGCGCCGGGCTTCCCTCTAGTCCAAAGCCTCGACTGGGAGACCTTCGAGCAGTACTGCACGTGGCAGCTCTTCCTGGCGCACAGCATCCCGCTGGAGACCATCATCCCCATCCTGCAGCACCTCAAGTACAAGGGTGAGGCGGCCGCGCGGGGGTCCCCGGGCGCCGCGCGGGGGTCCCCGCGCTCAGCGCCGCCTTCCCTTGCAGAGCACCCCGAGGCGCTGTCCTGCCTCCTGCTGCAGCTGCGGCGCGAGAAGTGAGTGCCGGGCACGGGGCGGGCGGCGGGCGGGGACCCCTGCCCGCGTTGCCCTGCAGCTTGGGTGCCTCCCGGGCGCCCCAGCCTCTCCCTTGCTCTGCCCTCGCCGGGACAGGCCCAGCGAGGAGATGGTGAAGATGGTGCTGAGCCGGCCGTGCCACCCCGACGACCAGTTCACCACCAGCATCCTGCGCCACTGGTGCCTCAAGCACGACGACCTGCTGGCCGAGCACATCAAGTCCCTGCTCATCAAGAACAACAGCCTCCCGCGGAAGCGCCAGAGGTGAGCGGTGCCGCCGGGCGAGGAGCCCGCCCGGAGCCGGGCACGGAGCCGCCGGCACCATCCTGCCCGGCCCCTTCGCCCGCTCTGCTTGGAGACGGAGCCCGGAGCCGGGCACGGAGCCCGCGGTGCCGCCCGCGCCCTCCGACCCGGCCCCTTCGCCCGCTCTGCTTGGAGAGGGAGGCCCGTGTGGAGGCTCCGAGGCCCTTTCCTGGAGCATGGAGGACATCTAGTGTCCTGGGAGAGCAGAGCAGCCCCTCGCGCCCCCATCCCAGGGGACGTCCCGGGGGTCTCGGCCACCGCGGGCCCTGCGGGGCGCTGGGCGCTGCTCTGCCCTCCTGCTCCCCCGCGCTCGTTAGTGGCCTTTGTTCCCGAACAAGGGGGCTCTTTTTGCAGCGCTGCTGGTCCGGGCTCCGCCGCGGATCCAGGTCTAATCCCTGTTAATTAGCGGGCGGCTGCTTGAGGCCTCTGCTGTTCCCCACGGCCCGAGCGCTGGCACCGTCCTGGGCCAAGGCCACCGCACRCGGGGCTCTTAGTGCCCGCAGATCCGCCAGGGATGGGGGCGGCAAGCGGGATTTATCCCCCTAATCCCTGGCACGGAGCAGCCCCGGGGYTCCCTTGGTTTCCTGGAGCCAGGAGCCGGATCCTGGGCTGCTCCTCGTGCCGGGGATGGTGCAGGATCCGTCTCTGGGAGCTGGGAACCGCGGGGCGGCTCCAAGGACCCCGCGACCCATCCTGGCACAACCAGACGGGTCCGGCTGGGAACGGCGCCGCGTCCGCGCCGGGCTCTCACGCTCCCGCCGCTCCCCCCACAGCCTGCGCAGCTCCAGCAGCAAACTGGCGCAGCTGACCCTGGAGCAGATCCTGGAGCACCTGGACAACCTGCGCCTCAACCTGACCAACACCAAGCAGAACTGTAGGTACCGCGGGGCGCCCGGCGCCCACCCGGGCCCCCGCCGGCGCCCGCCGCTCACTCCCGGCTCCGCCGCTTCCCTGGCAGTTTTCAGCCAAACGCCCATCCTGCAGGCGCTGCAGCACGTCCAGGCCAGCTGCGACGAGGCCCACAAGATGAAGTAGGTCATGAAGATGAAGAGGCCTCGGCCTCTGCGCCACGGCCTCTGCGCCACGGCCGCCTCCTCCTCCTCCTCCTCGCCGCAGGTTCAGCGACCTCTTCTCCCTGGCCGAGGAGTACGAGGACTCGTCGTCGAAGCCGCCCAAGAGCCGCCGCAAAGCCGCGCTCTCCAGCCCGCGGAGCCGCAAGAACGCGGCGCAGCCGCCCAACGCCGAGGAGGAGTCGGCCTCCAGCAGCGCCTCGGTAAGCGCGGCCTCCGCCCGGCCCGCGGCCTCCGCCCGGGCCACGGCCTCCGCCAGCGCCGCCTCTCCCCGCGCAGGAGGAGGAGGACGCCAAGCCCAAGCCCACCAAGCGGAAACGAAAAGGCTCCTCGGCCGTGGGCTCCGACAGCGACTGAGGGCCGGGCCGGGCCCCGCGCAGCCGTCCCGGGGCGGCCGGAGCGCCCTCCGGCTTCCGGCCCCGCGGGCACAGGGCCACGGCGCCGCGGTCGGAGCCCGCCCGGCCCCGCGCCGCACACGCGCCTCCTATTTTCGTACGAGAGATGTAAATACAGGGCGCGCAGCGGCTTGCGGCTCCAGGGTGCTGGGGGGCGGCGGGGAGGCCGGGGCCGCCGTCACCCGCGGGCCCCGCTGCCCCCGAGCAGGGTGCTGTGGCGCTGGGTGCTCCCGCCCGCCGCTTCTCCTCCCCGCCGCCCAGCGCCTGGCGTTTCTAAGCATTTTTAATAAAGAAATGGATAAAAGCAGTGAGGTTTTGTACAGAGCGCCGCCCCCCACCCAGGGCGCCCTTGGCTGGTCCCCCCTGGGGCTGGGCGGGGGC